TTGTCTATGTGTGCTTAACGTTCCCACATTTCACACCTGACATTATCTCTGAAAGATATTCTTCTCCTCTCTGCAGTTTCTTCCGAGTGCGTTAAGAATCAAATCCGTTCCAAATGACAATTCTGTAAGGTTACTGTAATCATAGGCAAATCCGCTGAGTGGGCGATTGGCACAAGATTTGGCCTTTTCCAGATCCTCGTTAGCCGACCGTTTCAGGGATCAGCGCAGGGCCTTCATGGCAACTGTAGAGGTTGGAGAATGCATTCCACTGTACTTCTTCCTGCCAAGCATTGCTTAACATTTAACGTAATCAGGGTGCCACCCAAAATTTCGACTTTGAAGATCATTTAAATGTGTCATTAATGAAAAGCAATTTCTCAAATCAGACACGGAACATTTGCCTGCTGTACTTTATTTGTGACTAGTCGTATGCTAGCAAAGTCAGTAAGAAAGTGAAGCACTTTTGGAGGATTGCTAATATCCTGTATGGAAAACTGTCTTTGTGTTTGAAATGGGCCTTGATCAGTGCCGACGTTCAGATTATAAGTATAAACCCTAGTAATGAAAAGCTTTTGCAAACTGCAGACTATGAGATGCGGTATGGAAGGATGTATGTTTGGCATGGCAAAAAGGCTAGAATAGCAACGAATGGTTGTTTGATTACAAACATGAGTCTGCAATATCATTATAAGAACGCACAAATTGAAAAGCCAATGAATAGGGCACGTTTTAAGAGGAACCGACGCTCTTGGGAAAAGGGAGATATTAGACTAGGTTTGAAAAGAGAGCAGACAGCCCTTTTGAAGACCTCCAATTTCACGATGGTATGAGTGAAGAAATTTGTTGGAGCAAAATCCAAAAGATTCGCAGAAGACAGAATTCGATGGCGAAGTCCTGGAGAGGCTTTCAAATAGCTGTGGATGGAGAAAAACTGATGATGATGAAATTTCAACAAATTATGAGATCAGCTGAAAGGGAATCAATTGTTCTGCCCCGCAAGTTGCACATCGAAGCTATTTATTATCAGAACAGACCTGGTCTATTCTTGATTGTTCTATGTTTCCTTTGGTTTCTTCAGCAGAAATTTTGAATGTTGCTTCTTCTTTCAAGTTCTGCCATTTGTGAAATTAGATTAAGCAAATCGAGCTTTAAAGCCACCTCCTCTAGTTGTTAATTTCAATACAAATCTGAATGTCGCATTTGATCTTAAATCGAACAAATCTTAGACACATGTGACCGTTGCTCCATGGTTTGTGCTGATAATTGGTGAATAACGACTTAAGTCTACTTTTCTGTAGAGTATTGTGAATTTATTTTTGAGTAGCTTACGTAAGAAGGATTG